CTCTCTAGTGAAAAGAGATGGATCATTCCAACTAAAGACCAAAGAAGAGCTAGCCAACGTCTTCGAAAATCTTTCCTGGCTGAACTACTTCCAATTGAGAGAACATTTTATTAAAAATCAAAAGGTGGGCTTCATAGAAAAAGACGAATTCTGGGAGAAAATACTGCGAAAGGATAAAAAAAATATAACTCACATCTATACCAAGCTATTAGATTGGAAAACAGAGACGGAGTCAGTCAAAGAATGCATGATCAAGTGGGCGAAAAACATCGGTAGAGCCATCAAATTTAAAGAATGGGAACGTATCTGGACTAAGAAGATTAAATATACCTACTCCATAGAGTTAAAGGAGAATTGGTACAAGATGTTTCATAGATGGCATATGACGCCCCAGAAACTAGGCATCATGTATAGAAACGTTAACAACAAATGCTGGAAGTGTGAAGAGAAGGTGGGAACTTTTTTCCACCAATGGTGGACATGCCCGAACACACAATCCTTCTGGCAAGAAATAAACGAATCTTGTGAACTGATCCTTAAGAGAAAAATACAGAGAAAAGCAGAGTACTATCTTTTGGGAATCTTCGAAGAAGAATGGGACCTGGACGTAAACAGTGATATTTTGCTGACCTATTTAACAACGGCAGCAAGAATTGTGTTCGCCAGACACTGGAAGTCAAAGGAAATCCCATCTAAAGAGGAGTGGTTGGAGAAAGTACGAGACATACGAGAGATGGATGTATTGACCTACWCACTAAAAGATTCACATGGGCGACCACTGAAGAGAACGAATTGGAAACCCTTTGAGGACTTCTTAGAAAAGATCTAGCCCRAAAAAGAAAAAGAAAAGAGAAGAACCAGAAACAAGAAGGAATAAAAAAATTAGGAATATAAGGGAGGAACTACGTAAAGAGCTACCTAGAAAGGAACTTAAAACTTAAAGACACGGAGCAAGAAGACTGGGAAGTCGGAACATCCTTCCAAATGTTATATCCCCCCCCCCGTTATATTTCCCCCCAAACCAACCCGGCACACCTCAACCTAACCCCGCATGCTCCCCAAACTTAGATCCCCCCACCATTAGGGCCACCTTCCCCCCCCCCTTTATCCCTTCCCTTTTTCCCTGCCCATCATACCTTGTTGTCTTTTMTAAGAAGTTTTATGCTCACTCTTCCCCCAACCTTTTGTATATTTTGAAATATTTCTAATAAAAATTAATTTAAAAAAAAGTCCATCTAGCTCTAATCTTTTGTTTGGATCTCCAGCACTTTATTCTCAACCCAGCCTTACAGTAGTATGTTTGCACTAGCCGTTGTCGTGGCCAACTAGTCTCAAATCTGCATTTGTTGTTCGTTCGTTCAGTCATTTCTGAGTCTTTGTGACCTCATGGACCAGCCCACTCCAGAGCTCCCTGTCAGCCGTCATCACTCCCTTCTAGGTCAATCCAGTCACTTCAAGGATGCCATCCATCCATCTTGCCCTTGGTCGGACCCTCTTCCTTTTTACTTTCATTTCCCCCAGCATCATTGTCTTCTCTAAGTTTTCCTTTCTTCTCATGATGTGGCCAAAGTACTTCATCTTTGCCTCTACTATCCTTCCCTCCAGTGAGCAGTTGGGCTTTATTTCCTGAAGTATGGACTGGTTTGATCTTCTGGTGGTCCAAGGCATTCTCGGAACTTTCCTCCAACACCACAGTTTAAAAGCATCTATCTTCGCTCAGCCTTCCCTATGGTCCAATTCTCACATCCGTAGGTGACTATGGGGAATACCATTACTTTAACTATGTGGATCTTTGTTAACAGTGTGATGTCTCTACTCTTTACTATTTTATCAAGATTTTTCATTGCTCTCCTCTCAAGAAGTAAGCATCTGCATATTCTCACTTTTTGATTATTGGTTGTTTGTTGTGTTTTTCATGTTTATGAAGTTTTATATTTTATTGGTCTTATTGTTTTTAATATAAGTGATTGTTATTTGTTTTAACTGTGTTGCTCTGTAACCTTTATTTATATTGGGCTTGGTCCCCATGTAAGCTGCCCGAGTACTTTTGGAGAGATGGAGGCTGGATAAAAAAATAAAGTTGTTGTTGTTGTGGATAAAAACTTTGACATAAATGGTTTCCATTTTCAAATTTAAGTCACTTTTTGTTTCAATCAATTTCTGGGTACAGGCTATGGTCTAAGACAGGCCTGTACAACCAGTGGCATTTAGCCATTTTGCATCTCAGTTTGCAGAATTCCTGACCACTGGACAAGCTGGTTAGGGCTTCAGGCAGTTTAAGTCCCAAACACCCGGAGGCCCTCATGTTGTGCATGCCTGTTCTAAAATTATGCTAACTGGTGTATTTCACTGCTTCAGGTTTAAAGGAAAAAGACAACAAGAATCTGAGCTGTTTGCAGAATATTCTGAAAATTGTAATGCACTTGACAATAATCCCACATAATGCCAATGAAAGTAAAATCACTTCTAACTTTAAAAACAAAACCATGTTTGTCTGGAAATAAGTCTTAAAAAGCAAAGTGCACCTATATTTAATTAGAAATATGCTGCCATAACAACAAAACTTTGCTGTCAAACCATCCACCATTGCATTTTATAATGACAACTATGCCTACATGCATGTTACAGCAGACCAATTCTTGAGGTGGCTGAAGTGAGAGTCACCACAGTCAAATCTGACTTCTCGTGGAACAGAGGCGGTTACCACATAAACCTAAATGAATTTTCTCAAAAGCAAAACAATCAACTAAACATTCTCATAACAAGAACAATTCAGTAAACACTCACAATTTGTGTTAGACAATTAAGAGAGATTCTTCAAGGGCAACCTCAACCATTGCACTGAACAGCACTTCTGATGAGTAATTTGGATTCTTCCTGATTTGCATTAATCACTATTTTTTTAATCCATACACTGTTTTCCACTAATTTCACACTGATTGTGGATTCCCTCATCTTCTACACAATCTAGTTAAAAGAAATATCATTCAAATAGCACTAAAATTGGATTCTATTAATACCCCCTAATTTTTCAATGAATTTTTAAACACTGATTGAATGAGGTATGAAATACAACTAGCATCAGATGCTAAAGATTAATCTGATAATCAGCACAGGAAATTGGATGGGACTTTGCCATATTCCAAAAGCAAATAAAAATAAAAAAAAAACAAAAAAAAAACACCTTGACGCAAAGAAGAAATATCCCAGTAACCTCATCAAGTGATCCAGAAACATACATGGGAGGTTTCATTTGATTTTTTAAACAAATAATTTTCCTCATGATCTGTATTAGAAGATCACAGTTTTTGGTTTGTATGGTTCACTGTTTGGATTTTGTTGCCTGTTATGTTTTCAGGATCTGTTTAATACTGTTACTTTAACATTCTGGTTTGCATTTGAAATAGATGGCTGATTTACCATCTTGGGAGCTCACAAAATATACTAGAAGATCAAGGCCATGTAAATATGAAAAATAATATTATCTACTTAGGTAATTTTCTGTTTAACGGCAGGGGTTCTGAAACTGTTCCATTAGAATATGCAGCCTCAACAAAACACTTGTTTCTTAAAAATAAAATCAGAGAGTATTCTATGTGCATATGAGTATATTGCTACAAGAAATATCAAAAGCAAATATAGGAAATATATAAGAGCTATATGTTTATTCACTTCATTCTCCAAAAATGAAAAGAACTTTAAAAGAGATGCTGAGTCCCATTTGTTTGCATGTGCAGGCAGTCCCCAAGTTATGAACAAGATAGGTATAGGTTTGTTCTTAAGTTGAATTTGTACGTAAGTCAGAACAGGTACATTTTATGAAGTTTTCGATAGCATAGGGAAGGGTCAACACTCCTGTAATTTTTATTTATCTTTGCTGTGTGCCCCTGTTCAGAATATTTCACCTCACTTTGTGTACCTCTGATAGTTTCGGCTTTTTGTAGAAACAAGGATTGGTGATAAAGTTTCAGTGGAGACACCTTTTCCACATGGTAACCATTTCAGGAGTGAATTTCCCTTCTTAGGGGTAGATTTCTCTGATTTCCTGTTGTCTCACCCCCATTCTGAACTGTGTGTTGTTTGTAAGACAGATGTTTGTAACTTGGGGACTGCCTGTAGAGTTTGAAAGTATTGGGAGGTGTTTGCTCTTGATGGAAAACAACACACACTCTTGGTCATCTTTGTCTTGAACTAGGTTGTGAATTAAGTGAAACTTTAGATAAATAATTCTCAGGTTCTAGTTAGAACAGCATTACAAATGAAAGCTCTCTTTTTTATTACAATTAAAGATTTACTATGATTAGCGCATCATTTTTTCGATATTTCATCATCATCTCTTTTTACTATCACCATGCTTTTCTCACAAATCCACAAAATAAAAATTATCCAGTTATCTTTCAAAAGAAGTTTTCGATGTTGTCAATCAAGAGGAGATTCAGTTAACTAAGTTAATAAAGTAATTATAAAGTGAACAAATGTAAAAAAAATTACAATGCTCAGTGACTATACTAAACTATAAATCTTGCAATGGTTCCAAGGAAATAGGGTTGCACATATTCCACTACAAAATATATGCAGGATCAGGATTTATAAAAAAGGTGATGTTTTATTGTAATTGGGGGGGTTACCTACAGAAACTAGAAAATGCTGCCCAAAGTGTTAAAAACATTTTCTGTGCAATTTTACAACAGGTATATATAAGAATTGTCTTGCTTCTTACATACACTCACTGTACAATACGTATAAGAACTTTCAGGGATAAATGGTATTACCACATGAGTCATGCATGTAGTTTAGAAACCAAAGATTCAGAAGAGTAAAATATGTGGTGAAAATAATTATTTTCTCAATGAAAACATTGGTTCCTTAACACTGTGCTTCTTCTTAAAACCGACTGAAATTAGATGCTGAAACTCCCTAAACAGCACAAGCACCATTTTTACTGCAGAAGATTGTTTTCAACATAAAACTTTTCAGTTAGGCAAGAACTAGTTCCTTACTGGTAAGCTTGATGGTCTTTCCTGCTGGATCAAATTCATTTCTTCATGGTTGGGCTTGCCTTGGGTGATAGGGGGTTGGGACCTGGTTCCATAGCCCTCCTGAGACATTTCCTGAGTAAAAAAAAAGTATGTTAGTAATGCACAACACCAACTGGAATGGGCTCAGTAGGCAGAGAGAAAAGGATAATCATTCACTGAGACATTGAGAGAGTCTTTTTGTACATACACCAGATTTCCACAAGGCATCAATGCATCTGGTTCTTGCGTGGCCCCACTTGGAAAGCTACTTTTTAAAGCACTGTGTGGGAATGGATCCTATTCTCTTTTATTTCATTTTTGGTAGTGGAAGAAAGCAACAAAAGAAAACTGAGTAGGATTTGGTAACATGCCATTTGTTAAAACAGCACACTATCTTGGGTCCTTTTGATTTAATTTAGGCTGCACTCCAAAGATTGCTGGCACTAGTTTTCTTCATTCCTTCTAACATAAACAAAACATAATATTTCTCTCTCCATACCTCTCAGAATGCAGCAGGGTTTACTTTGGAGGTGTCTCCATGTGTGTCATGCCCCAGATCAGGGATTTATCCCTCAACAGTCTGAACTGGGTTATCATTATAAATATGTTTCATTGAAAATTAATAGACCCATTTTTCGATCTTACAGTTCTATAAACTGGACCGAGGTAATGGGGCAATGAACAGCCCCATACTAAGCTCTTACATGCACTAACAAACATGTGAACGCCTCTGCAGAATTCGAGGATAGCACCAGTTGTCATCAACAGTGGCTTTAGTTCTCCACTTTCAAACAAAATTGGAAACACAATTGAAGACATTAGAATTTCATGAAAAAACTAGGTTTGGCTGAGTTTTGCCTCAAGCCCCTGGTACATGGATATCGCTTTCCTTAGTAGACTGAACTGTGCCCTAAGTGTTTATTTCAGAAATGTGAAAAGCACACTGCTCTGGAAGCTTCTTTAATGGGCTTTCGGTAATCATGCACCAACTGTGAAAGTATAAGTGTATTTAAATCAAGACTATTTATCGGAAGGACAGAGTCACCAAGAGCATAGCCTTGTTTTCAACCACAAGACAAGGAACTGAAAAAACAACCAAGCTCCTTCATGTTTTCTGCAAAATATGTCAAATGGATTAAGTGCAATTTAAAAGTATTTCCTTTTATACTTCAGTTGGTGAAAGCAAAATAATAGCCTATGAACTATATATGCAGAAAAATATTGTTTAATGTTCACAGGTCTTACAGTACTTGCAAATCTACTCTTAATAGTTAATATCTATTTTCATATATATACAGACAAGGTGTAAGCTAATATGTGAAATGCTGACGTTAGTTTGTATAACTGGCATAGAAAGTTGAAGAACTAGTTTCCAACTGTAGAGAAAAGATATCACACCTAAAAATCCAAGAGGAGAAAAACTGCTTCTGTTGTCAACCCCCCTGCCTTCCACCCGCACTTTCATAACAGATTGCTCTCTTGTTTTCCCCCTGCTTTTAGTTTGTCATTTTGATAAACAACTGAATAGGAACAATTATTTTTACATGCAACATTTTAGCCTGCAAGTACATGAAAATAATTTTTGCACACCACCCCCATAAGAGTACTTTGCTTATATTGCTTCTCTTTAAAAAGGACTTCTGCTGTGCCAAAAGGATCCGGTCCAATCGCAACTACTGCCAGTACAGCTATGCTACAAACTAGTTAACTGTCGTGTTTTAAACATGCTGTTGCCATAAGGTCACTAAGCATATAAGATCAAGGAAACTCATACAGTGTGTGTGTGTGTTTATGTGTATCTATAGTTACAGTTTTTGTCAAGGAGTGTACAAGTCTTTAAACTTCATAGCTTTTTCACAGCTGATTAGGTGAAACAACTAACCATTTACTCCAATTTTAAGGGGAACTAATAAACAAGTATTCTCAGATTCACTGTGTGCTGTTACTCTTAACTTTATAATCAAATTTTTGACATACACATTCTCTGGTATTAAAAAGTGTGGTGTTCCGTTTCTTTTTGTTCTGCATCCAATCAGAAGTCGAAATGAATGAAAACCTTTAAAAGTCCCTCCCTTCCATCTGGTTACCAGCAAAGGGTAACAATTAGGCTTAAGGGTGAGAAAGGCTGATGGCTGAACGATTATTATCCACTGTGAAGCCCCCCCTCCTCAATTCCCCCTCCCAGATTTCTGCTTCTGACACAGTTCTCCTGCTGTGTAGGCCAGCAGGTTCCTCTGGATTAACAACACAATTTAAAATCAACAAATGGCACATTCAGCTGCTCTCCCTCTTGTTACAAAGCAACATAAAGGTGGAGGACAGCTTCACAATAGACAAATAAATGAGCAAACCTCTGCTTTTCCTTTGAACTTTAAACACAACATCTCTATTTATTATCACTGTACCGGTGTCCCTAATAAATCCTTAACAGAAAACACTAGCATTTATGCTGTTTGTTCAACCAGCTGTCTTCTTTCTCATTAACTATTCTAGCCCAACAACAAGCATGCCTTAAAGTAGGGCTGGCTTTAAATTTTGAAAACAGGCTGTCAAGACTGGCGAGGAAAGAGACAGCTCCAGACAGAAGGCAACTGGGGGGGAAAGGGTGCAGGCGGTATTAAAAAGGGGGTGGGAATCAGAATTGTGCATTTTTCCTATTTGGTTCTTCATGCAGGGAGGAATAAACATTTTAAAGCATTCACAGTGACATACAATCAAAACATTAAAAATGTCAAGACCATGGGTGGCGGGGTGGGGTGGCTAAAATAGAGTTTATTAGTTATTTTACAATAAAGCAAGCTGATCTGTCTTTTTCACATTTATTTTCCTAACATTGCGTTCAAAATCTTACATGTGTCTTGATGAACTAACAGTTATCTTTCAGGCATTAGCAGACCCATTTCTTCCCATGAGAGAGGAGATGAGCACATGCAAGGTAAGCCAAAGTAAAGGACTAAAAGGACTACCATAGCCCAAGTTAAAACAACAAAAACTGTCCTGTGGTTATACCTTTGTTGGGTTATGTAAAAGATACAAAATGCATCAAACCTTATGTGTTTTGCACCTACTGGCTACCCAATAAAGTATCTCCACAGGGTGGCTTTTAGATTGTGTTATGTTTTTGGTTCATGACCAACGGGACTACCTTTGAAACATAGTTGAGGTGGATATATAGCAGTTCTATAGTGCACACAGCAGCTATTAAGACATATGGCAAACTGCTGAGCACATGACCCCAGAACATTTATTTGAGTCTTCTGGAAAAACAAAAACAAAACAGTCACATCGATTTTGTCTATACTGTTTGTATGTTTACTATTACTTACAATTTAGAGATCATACCTGCTACTTTCAAATTGCTGTATATAATACTTAATAATATTGTGTATAATTACTGTGCATAAGAATAGTAGAAAAAAATCAATTGTAACCACACTGAAAAGCCCTTAACAGCTCTCACAGTTCTGAATGGGGAGAATAATGCGTGGAGGTAACTGATGAAAAGGTCCAATTCTGACAAGACAGCAAGGGTGGTTAATGATAATCACATCTAGATTGAGCATCCCGTGTCCTTTCCTCACTGTATTTCCCTCCCTCGGTTTCTTTTTGTCCATCTATTGTCTGCATATTTATCATTAAACATCAATATGAAATTATACATGTTGGAGTGAGGGATTATACATTATATGAACATAAACGGATATGTGCTAGAGAGAAAATTAAAAGATTGTGTCTTTCTATAACCTGCAGGACCTTAACATAACTGAAGCACTCCCAGGAACTTCATTAAGATGACACTGGCGAAGGTGGGGGAGGTGTCACAAGATGAAAAGAAACACAATCAGGGGCGAAGGGATATCGTAAAACAAAAAAGTTTGTGCAGAAAAGAACTTGTCTATGTGTGTGAAAATTAGCACAACAAAGATGCACACATACACCATATGCTTCCTGCACACATTTTTTGTTTCACAACATTTTTTAGATGTGGACTGCTGATATAAAAACTCACATATCCATTCAGATTATCCCTTTTTCTGGCAAAATAGTACATTGTGAATCTCCTGGTCTTCAGGGCCAAAGGCAGTTAAACAATCTTCCAAATGGCATGGGTCCATTCTCTTTAGTTGCTTACAATATAAACAAGCCCAGCAAATGGGCATTAGGAAAGCAGCTTCAATGTAAGCCCAGAGGTGTACAATATTTATCTTAAGAAAAATCCATTCAATTAATTGTTCTGAATATTAATACTATAGGAGAGAGTTGCCAATTCAATAGCAGGTGTAAAAGTGTTTTTGCTTTCCTTCTTCAGAAGTATTTTTCCTATCACAGCAGCTCATGCTGGAAATGGTTGTGATGGAGGAGGGATTGCTGCCAGCTAAACCAGCAGCAAGCAGGAAGATGAAATCATAGCATGAGACAAATGATAAAATGCCTAGGTATCTGCTCTGAATATCATAGACACTTCAAGGATAAAATGGGCTGTAGTTCACCAAAGTTTGTGCCAAAACTTTTTTAAAAAACTGTTAGCATTTAAGCTTCTGAGTCTATGGGTTTTGTTGTTTTTGCTGAAACATACCAACATTACTACTACTTGAAATTTCAGCAATGTAAGCAAGTATGTTGACATAAGACAAACCCAACAAAATCACAAGGAAGGTTGTCCAGATCCAAACAGACATAATCTTTCTAATGAAACACTCAAAGTTAACTGTAAAAACGGATGCCAAATACAATAAACAGGAGAAAAATAGTTTAAATTGCATCCAAAAAAAGATACCCTGCCCCCAGATACAAAACAATACTAGAATGCTTGGCTTTCAATAAGGTGATACATACTTCTAAAATGAAATCAAGTGCCTATAATACATAAGCTCACCTAGCCAATCATGCAACATTGTTTACTCATCTTCTCCAATGTAAGTACAATTTGCTCAAAACAAACATATTAGATCATAATTTCAGAACAATATGTCTCCAGTCAGCTCAAAATACCTTGTGGACATTTACATTGTTTCCAGAGTTTGAAGATGAAGACACGTGTTAGAAAACAATACTTTAAAGGATATATTACTTTATGATTAGTAGCCCTTGCA